GGAGCAGCTGGAGTCACAGTGCTGTGCTCTTCAGGCATGTACTTCCCAGATTTATTACTGGCAGTCCCAGTTATATCTCCTTCCCCCTCCCAATCTAGTTTAAAGCTCTGTCAATTAGCCCTGCTAATTCTTGCCCAAGGATCCTTTTCCCCTTCTGGGACAGATGTATTCCATCTTTTGTCTGTAGCCCCGGTGCCATGTAAAACATCGCCTGGCCAAAGAAGCCAAAATTCTGCCTGTGGCACCAGCCTGTAAGCCATGTGTTAATTTGGTGAATCTTCCTGCTTCTGTCATTAAACCTCCCTGCCACTAAAGGGATTGAGGAAAAAATCACCTCTGTGCCTGATCCTGTAACCAGTCTCCCTAATGATCTGAAGCCTTTCTTAATTGCTTTTGGGCTTTTCTCTGAAATTTCATCACTACCAGCTTGGATGACCAAAAGCGGGTAGTAAACATATTAAACATATTAGCCATTACCTACACTCACAATACTGCTGTCAGGTATCAGTGAAAAGCTATAAAAGCCTTCTTAATAAAGAGGGAGCTAGGTATCACTAGCCAAAACTCGAAGTCCACCTGCTCCTGCAATAATGAAGGGATTACTTTGAATCATACTTGATTCAGTGCATACCATTCATAGGTACTAGTCAAACATCAATACCAGATAATCACTCTATAATGATTCACTGCAAAGGACATATCATGCTGTAAGTTATTATAACATATTTATGTATGCTAGTCTGTGTAAAATTCAAAAACTGATGATTCATTTCTATTCACACATTCTCCAAAAAAGAGGAAGAAACTGTCTATAAATGTTTGCCTTCACACTAAACTGTAACTAGACCTAACAGCGTGACACATGCAAGATGGGGAAACGGATAGTAATCTAGCCTTCCAGTTTCATACCTACAGGACCAAACAGCCTACTGACGCTGCCATGTCTCTGAACACCATGTTCCCGCATGGTGTTCAGGAACTCGACACAATTTCCTTATGACTGGAGATTTGTGCTGACAAAGCCATGAGGCAGCATAGTCGGTAATGCCCCAAAAGACATCTTTTTGTGATGGAGTGCAATTCCATGAATGAAGCCAGTTCATTAAATTTCCACTTGTCACCACCACCTCCAGCTGGTTCTTAGCCCAGGAGAGAGTTTATCAACAAACAGTTGTGCTTCTGTAATCGTTTGTGGGCTTATTATGTGATCTGGAAAACTAAACAGATTCAATTTAAAATACAAATCCTCAGAAAACTTTCTCTTTTTGGCATTTTTTCCCTTCACTTAAATCACATCCATGACCTCATATGAACCTCAAAATAGCTGCACTAGCAGAACTGAGGAGGCAGATAACTACAGCAGGAGTGCCCAAGAGGGCTGGGATCACCTTTAAACAGCTCTGCTGCTGAAGAAAATACATGAGTGCACCTGGGGCTGAGTTAGACTGAGCTACCTTCTGAAGTAATAAGATCATTCCTTTAGAGAGAGAAAAGAAATATATAGACAGAAGAAATATATAGACAGAAACCTGTCAGCAATACAAAACTGACAATAAAGTTGACTACATTGGGGAAAAGCTGGCCACAGCAGTGCCTTGTGCTGACTGGGGGATGCATCCTCAGTCACCTAGGGGGGTAAGTATTCAAGATGTGGTCAGTATAGGCTTAATTTAACCCCAATGCCAGAGAAGAAAGCAGCCAAGGACTCCTCCCCAAAACTAAAAGACTGCTAGTGATCTTCTCTCCTGAATATATAACATTTGAAAAAGATCATTTGAAACTGCTTCTATATTTTGTCTCAATGCTCAATGAAAACTTAGAACGTCGCATTAATCAGAGGGTAGGAGAGAAGAGCTACTAAGAACCAAAGTTATTTAAAAACAAAGGTCAAAGATATCATCAACCTGTACTGCACAGGCACTGAACGTGGAGTCAGC